TCCCCCTCATCTTTAGTAGCTGGGACCACAGGCAAGTGCCGCCATGCCCAGATATGTATGTATGTATGTATGTATGTGTGTGTGTGTATGTGTGTATGCATGCGTGTATGTGTGTGTATGTATGCGTGTGTATGTGTATGTGTGTGTGCCTGTGTGTATGTATATGTATGTGTGTGTATCTCTGTGTGTATGTGTGTATGTATATGTATGTGTATGTATATGTGTATGTGTGTATGTATGTGTGTATGTGTGTGTGTATGTATGCATGTATGTATGTGTGTGTATGTATGTATGTTGTATGTATGTGTATGCATGCGTGTATGTGTGTGTATGTATGCGTGTGTATGTGTATGTGTGTGTGCATGTGTGTATGTATATGTATGTGTATCTCTGTATGTGTGTATGTATATGTATATGTATGTATATGTGTATGTGTGTATGTGTGTGTGTGTGTATGTGTGTATGTGTATGTGTATGTGTGTGTGTGCGCGTATGTGTGTATGTAGTGAAAGGGTCTCACTAGTTGCCCAGGCTGTTATTTATTTATTTATTTGAGACGGAGTTTCACTCTTGTTACAGGCTGGAGTGCAATGTCGGCGATCTCGGTTCACTGCAACCTCCACCTCCCGGTTCAAGCGATTCTCACCTCGATCTCCTGAGTAGCTGGGACTACAGGCATGCGCCACCACACCCAGCTAATTTTGTATTTTCAGTAGAGATGGGGTTTCTCCGTGTTGGTCAGGCTGGTCTCAAACTCCTGACCTCAGGCGATCTGCCTGCCTTGGTCTCCCAAAGGGCTGGGATTACAGGTGTGAGCCACCGCGCCCGGCTTTATTTATTTATTTAAGACAGGGACTTGCTCTGTTGCCCAGGCTGGAGTACTTCAGCCTGAAACTCCTAGACTCAAGTGATCCCTCCCACCTCTGCATCTAAGTAGCTAGAAACTGCAGGCACATTCCCCATACCTAGCTAACTTTACAAATTTTTAAAATAGAGATGAGGTCTCACTTGATTATCCAGGCTGGTCTCAAACCCTGGGCCCTAAGTGATCCTCCTGCCTCCCAAAGCGCTGGGATTACAGGCCTGAGTCACTATGACTAGCCTGTTTTCTTTTTCTTTTCTTTTCTTTCTTTCTTTCCCTTTTTTTTTTTTTTTTTTTTTTTTTGGACAAGCTCTCCTTCTGTGGCACAGGCTGGAATGCAGTGGCATAATCACAACTCACATCAGCCTCTAAATCTCAGGCTCAAGCAATCCTCCTGCCTCAGCCTCCCAGGTAGCAGGAGTCTACAGATGCGCATCACCATGTCCAATATTTTTTTTTCTTTTGTAGAGACAGGGTCTCACTATGTACCCAGGCTGGTCTTGAACTCCTGGGCTCAAGCAATCCTCCTGCCTTGGCCTCCCAAAGTACTGGGATTAAGGCACTTGAGCCATCGATGTAGCCTTGTTTTCTTTTAAATTGGTGTAAAGCGCACACTATTAATTGGGAATGACATTTAGTACACTCAATGCTGTGCAACCACATCACCACTGTCTAGTTCAGACTTTCTCTTCACTCCAAAAAGAAAACCCAAACCCCACTTATCTCCCATTTCTTTCTCCTCAGTCCTAACCACGAATCGCTGCCTCTATGAATTTGTCAGTTCAGGAGGTTTCTTTTGAAGAATCTTGCCTATGCGGCCTTCTGTGTCCACTTCCTTCCTTGGCATAATAGTTTCAGGACTCATCTATGCTGAAGTACATGAATCAATGCTTCCTTCTGTTTTTATGACCAAATAATATTCCACCGTTTTCTCCTAACCTTTGCAAGCTTCATTCCTTCTTGTCATTCAAGTCATGGCTAGGCGGCACCTCCTCAGAAGGCTGCCCCTGTTCACTGCCCCTCCTAAATTATCTCAGCCCTTTTACATTTTGGTCCCAGGGTGGACTGCCATTTGTAATGGTTTTATTCTTCTACCGCTCTGCTTTCTTGTTGTTGAGATGGAGACCAAGGACCCCATTGTCATCACCTAAATCAATCCCAGGATTTAGAGACAGGCTTTCTGGCTGTGTGATTCTGAGCATTTCACAGGAATTCACTCTCTCTCTCTCTCTCTGTCTCTCTCTCACACACACACACACACACTCTCGACGGAGTTTTGCTCTTGTTGTCCAGGCTGGAGTGCAATGGCACGATCTCGACTCACTGCAACCTCCGCCTCCTGGGTTCCAGCGAGTCTCCTGCCTCAGCCTCCCTAGCAGCTGGGATTACAGGTGCCAGCCACCACACCCAACTAATTTTTGTATTTTTAGTAGAGACAGGGTTTCAGCATGTTGTGAGCTGGTCTTGAATTCCCTGACCTTGGGTGATCCGCCCCTCAGCCTCACTTTTACAGGCATGAGCCACCACGTCCAGCCCCAAATTCTCTAAAGCATAGTTTGGGCTCATTTGTCAACTAGGAATAATTATCATGTTTATTTCTTTTTTTTTTTTTTGAGATGGAGTCTCGCTCTGTCACCCAGGCTGGAGTGCAGTGGCTGGATCTCTGCTCACTGCAAGCGCCGCCTCCCGGGTTTACGCCGTTCTCCTGCCTCAGCCTCCCGAGTAGCTGGGACTACAGACACCCGCCACCTCGCCTGGCTAGTTTTTTTGTATTTTTAGTAGAGACAGGGTTTCACCATGTTAGCCAGGATGGTCTCGATCTCCTGACCTCATGATCCACCCATCTCGGCCTCCCAAAGTGCTGGGATTACAGGCAGGCCACCGAGCCGGTTGATCATCATTTATTTCATGAGTTTGCTGTGAGGATTATTGTGGCAGTAATAGTAGCTGCTGTAAGAGCTGTCTTCATAAAGACATGCTCTACACCAACTCCCCACTATACTCACACACATGAAAAGTTACTGAATTCCTTTGGAGAAAAATTTAAAATCTCATGGATATTATAATCTGTGTAGCTGTTCTATTTTCACTTTCCCCATTGGCTACCAGGAAGCTTAGGAGCAAGTTTGTTTGCTGCCTCCTTTTTCCGTACGTGGGGGTAATTTTTGCCTCATTCTCCACTGAATCTGCTGCTCAGAGAGTTCTATAGCCAAATCTTATGATCTTTGTTCACCACCCAAAATTCTGTATGGGATGAGATAAGGTAGAAGCCAATGGAACTATCATCTTTGCCTGAAACAGAGTAGGAGGCAGCATTCATTGAAAGAACAATGAGGTTGGTGTGGCGGCTCATGCCACAGTCCCGGTTACTCAGACAGGAGGATTGCAGGAGTTTGAAACCAGCCTGGGCAACATAGCAAGACTCCATCTCTCTAAAAAAAAAAAAAAAAACCCAGGCATGGTTGCATGCCTGTGGTCCTATCTACTCAGGGAGTCTGAGGCAGGAGGATCACTTGAGCCCAGGAGGTTGAGGCTGCAGTGAGCTATGATTGCACCACTGCACTCCAACCTGGGGACAGAGTGAAACCCTGTCAAAAAAAAGAAGAAAGAAGAGGCTAAGGCAGGAGAATGCAAAGGAACCCGGGAGGCGGGGTTGCAGTGAGCCGAGATTGTGCCACTGCACTCCAGTCCTGGGCAACTGACGAAACTCCGTCTAAAAAAAAAAGAAAAGCAAAAGAAAAAGAAGGGCTGGGCGTGGTGGCTCATGCCTGTAATCCCAGCACATTGGGAGGTGGTGGGCATATCACGAGGTCAGGAGATCGAGACTATCTGGCTAACACGGTGAAACCTCGTCTCTACTAAAAAGCCCAAAACAATTACCCGGGTGTGGTGGCAGGAACCTGTAGTCCCAGCTACTCCAGAGGCTGAGGCAGGAGAATGGCGTGAACCAGAGCGGAGAAACTTGCAGTGAGCCCAGATCATGCCACTGCACTCAGCCTGGGTGAAAAGTGAGACCCTGTGTCAAAAAAAAAAGAAAAGGAAAAAGGAAGGAGGGAAGGAAGGAAGGAAGGAAGGAAGGAAGGAAGGAAGGAAGGAAAGGAGGAGGGAGGGAGGGAGGGAAGGAAGGAAAGAAAGAAAGAAAGAAAGAAAGAAAGAAAGAAGAAAGAAAGAAAGAAAGAAAGAAAGAGAGAGAGAGAGAGAGAAAGAAAGAAAGAAAAGGAAAAAGAAGAAAGAAAAAGAAAGAGGTGAAGTTGAAATCATTGGCTTTCCTTGCTTAACTCCATCCTCTCTCACAGGCTCTGGAATTTATTCCTGGCTCTGTGCCTCTCCTTTGTTTGATGACATTAAGTCGCTTGGGGTCAGGTCTGTGTTTGCATCTATTCTGCGGCCCCAGCACTCAGCAGAAGACCTCCAAGGAATATGGAATGGAAGGAAGAAAAAAAAAAAAAGAGAGGGAGGAGGATGCGAAATGGAGTCTGAAAATCGGTAGTCATGGGTGAGCAAGCGAGGGGATAAATTCATGGACAAAGCAGGGAATTCTCGCGGACTCCTCACAGCTAACGTGTGGCAGGAGTTATTATTATCCCAACATTCTCAGAGGAGAGAGCAGAGCTCAGAGTGATGAGTGAGGAATGAACGGGTGAGTGTGAGGGAGTCCATGGGGCTGGGCCAGTCTCTCAGCGGCCTTCAAGACGAGGCCTGCGTTGCCCTGCGTGCACCCATTCCGGGCGAGGTTTCCTCTTAGGCCCCAGCCCGTGCCACCCCATCAGGAGTATGGGCCCAGGCCACCGGAGTTGCTGAACATTTATTTGGCCCCAGGAGCAGTGCAGGGACGGGCTGTGTTGGTAGAGAGAGGAGAGCGGAGGCGAGGATGGCTGATTGTCAAAGCAGGAGCAGGACCAGGGGCAGGAGAAGCCAGGCTCTTCCCTTCCCAAAGGGTCCCTGGGGCGTCTGGGTGTGTCCGCGCGGGGGTCGGGGAGTGTATGCTGGACCGTGGTGGTGATTGGCACCGTTGGGGTGAGAAGCCAGAGATAGTTCAGATGGTTGAGGTGGAAAGGTGGGGCGGAATGGGCAGAGGAAGCTTACGGGTAGGGCTGGCTTGGCTTTTGGCGGTCTCGGGAGTCTGGGAGTCAGGAGGCTAGAGTCCAGGCTTGGCAGCGGCCGGGTGGGAGTCAGGCGCAGGCAGCAGCCTCACTCGGTCGCGGCACAGCTGAGTGCCACTGGGCAATGGGCGCCGCAGGTTGGCCAGCATGTCCGCCAGTGGGCGCAGGCCAGCCCCGGCGGCACCTGAGCCACCCTCCCGATGGCCTCGTTCTTGCCCAGCTTGTCGTAGTCCAGCCGCAGTCAGCTCCACCTGCACCTTCTGGGGTGGGCGCGGGAGGAGGAGAGAGGGCGTGAGGGAGGAGGCCCGAGGAAGGGGGCAGTGTCTCACCTTCACAGCTGAGGGTACCTCGCTGCCACCGGGAGCTCGAGGCCCGGAGCTTGGGGCAGGAAGGCGGGAGGACAGGCCTGCGGTGGGGGGCGGCTCTGGCGCCCTTCTTCCTGAGCAGCCAGGTTTCCTGGAGATAAACCCTGGATTAGGGTTGCAGAGGCGCGTGTTCGGCGCCTCTTGGGGGAGCAGCCTCCTAAGAGCCGCAAAGCTGCAGAACTTTTAACAGGGAGCCCGAGCTAGGGTAGGCGCCATCCTAAAGAGGTAAGGGAGGTCTCTTTTTCTTAGACCCATATTCTATGAGGAGGCGGGGCATCCTGGTGCCACGTGGGGGGCCAGGGCATCCTGGTCCCGCTTGGGGAGCGGGAGCATCCTGGTCCTGCTTGAGGCCCGGGGCATCCTGGTCTTGCTTGGTATGGGGTATCTGGTCCTGCTTGGGGTGGGGCATCTGGTCCTGCTTAGGGGCGGAGCATCCTGGTCCGGCTTGGGGTGGGGCACCTGGTCCTGCTTAGGAGTGGGGCGTTGTGGTCCCATTTGGGGGCAGGGCATACTGGTCCCGCTTGGTGGGGCAGAATATCGTGATCCTGCTTAGGGTGGGCATCTGGTCCTGCTTAGGAGTGGGAGCATCCCTGGTCCCGCTTAGTGGGTGGGGCATACCGGTCCTGCTTAGAGCAGATAGGATGCCCACATCCAATTTTAAGGAGTCTCTTCCCGAGGTAGAGGAGGCTTCGTGGTCCTCATAGGAGAAACAGACGGAGGGCATAACTGAGCCCCTCACCTGGTTTCTAGGGAGATGTAAAAGTCTCCTCGGCCCTATGTGCAAGGCGATTACTAAGGGTCTGGGCTTTGGAGGCTTGACAGGTTGAGCTCACCTGGACTTGGTCACAGGGCACCTCGGGCTGAAGCTTCGTTTGTAATAGGAGTTCAGAGTGTTCTTCTTGATGGTGGTTTCTTCTTCACTTTTTTGCCGCCTGCAGCAGGTGGACAGCGTATGGATCTGGGGAGGAGAGGAAGGAGGAGTCTTATAGCTCTCACTGCTTTGAGTTCTTGGGCCAACATAGAAACACCGCCTACACCCTTCCGGGTCTCCATGTAGCTCTATCCCAAAATCCATGCCTTCCACGGCAGCCTGGGCCTCCCTGTCCCGAGAAGAAACTCTGGGAGCTCAGAAACTACCAGAGCGAGAGAACCCACCTCGCCATCCCCCACACACCTCCTGCTTCCCACACACCTGACAGTCCTCCTCTACGTCCATCTTCTTCAGGTTTTAGCCTCCAGGGCGATGACGGTGAGCTTCCGGCCGTAGGGACATGGCAGAGGCTTCAGATGTCCCCAAAAGTTTCTCCTGCTGAAAGAAGGGAGAGGGCCCATCACGTCATTGACTCCCACATCCATCACCCCCTCATTTGTCTTTCTCCACTTTTGGAGATAGAACGGTCCACAGTTAAGGACCCAGCGGTACAATCCACGCACTTCGCCCGAGTCTGGAAGGCCTATGATCTGATTGGCTCCAGATGTTGTGGGCGGGCCTGGGAGGCGTGGCTCAGGCGTGGCGCGCATGCTCACCTCCTCCCGGAGCAGCCTGCAGCTCCCGCCAGGTCTGCACTGGCCGCCCCAGGTCCACCCAGGCTCATGGGGGACCCGCACCTCCCGATGGCGTCGTTGCGGCGGTGAAGTGTTTCACCGCCATGACCAGCACCCTGCCCCCAGCTCCCGTAGGGGACCTGGAGTGCACAGAGAATCCGCAGTAGAGAGCAGGAAGTCAGACATAGGGTGAGGTGCAGCACATCCAGAAGGCAGGCGTGGGTAAGGGCAGCGAGATCCCAGCGAACAGTTGGGGGCTCAAATGGGGAAGTCCAGGGATCCATGGGGGAAAAAAAATCACCTGAGGTCAGTGGAACCCAAGTAGTACCGCCAGGACAGAGCTACAGCCAGGTCAGCAGTGCCAGAGTCCAGTGGAATAGCCCCAGAGCGGGTAGCTGCCACCTGAGCCTTGGCCGCCTGCAGGAAGGTGGAAAGAGGTCAGTCCCCAGTGTTCCAGGGACTGGGGCAGGCTATGGAACACGGGGCCTGAGGCGAGAGCTCACCTTGAAGGCAAGAGTCTCCCAAAGTGAGGTTCAGCGTCTGCGATGCACCTTGGTCTCGTGCCGCCTCAGTTGTCCAGGTAGCAGGTAGACCCGCGGCAGGGTCGAGCCACCCAAGATCCAAGGCTGCAATCCCTCTGCTTGCAGAATGCCCACCAGCAACTGCAGGACCCAGGCACAGTGGGGGAGGCAGGAACACTGAGGTCTTAGCCTCCCTTCCATGGCTCCTTTCAGAAGTGGTTGGAACCCTGGGACCCTCCTCAAAGTATCCCCTGCCTCCCACACCCACCTGGCCACTCTGGAAGTCATAATCCAGGAAATTACTGCAGTGCGTCCTAGCTCACGCTTCTCTGCCACCTGCTGCCCTGGCCCGGATGGTGCTGGCTCCAGCTCCTCCACTTCTGGCTGCACCTTAGGGGAGCTGGGGGTAAGGGTAGGTGAAGTAGATCCCCTGATAGCAGTATCCTTCAGGTTCAGAAGCCAAGAGAGGCTCACAAGTCCCTTGGGCTATACCTGAGCGCTCACAGGCTAAGCAGAGTCAGTATTTGACTAGAGATGTCTGCCACAGGCAGAAATGGTATGATAACACAGATGCAGTATGTTTTGTGAATGTTTGATTAGTGGTGTCTGCTATGGGCAGGGACTAGACATGTGTTTGTCATGCTTAGATTAAAACAAGTACTGATAGTGTCCCATTGCCCACAGGAATAATGCAGGTTGTGTTCACATGCTAATGGATGTATCAAGGTGCTAGTCAAACTGCCATGTTTACTTGTGATCTTAGCACAGCAAAACATGGAGGAGAAATGGCATATTTACTGTGTATTTGCTATTCTAAGTAGAATAGAAAAAACAGAAGGTCTCCTTAACCTAGGACAGCAATTCTTAAAATTCAATGTAAACCTGAATTCCCCTGAATCCTGTGACAAAGCGCCTGAGGGTCACCTCTTCAGGGGATGCTGACTCAACAGGTCAGGTGCTAGCTCCAGAATTTGCATTTCAACAAGTACCCTGTGTGATTCTGCTGCAGTCTTTGAACATCACTGGTTTAAAGGGATAGGGGATAGGGCTGGACACCAGGACCCTAAATGGCATCTTTACGGATACTAATTGTAACAGCTCCTTACTGAGAAGGAAGGAGGGGAAATACCAAGTTAGTGACAGCAAACTTGAGTTTCAGAGAGGGACAGTGAATTCTCCAAGGTCACACAACTGGGAAATGGTCTCTTTTGGTTGAAGCCTAGGGCTGTCTGGCTCCCGAGCAAACATTGCACTCTGCACTGAGAGACAATTTTTCAGACCTGCGGTGACCACTTTCATTCAACAGCCTTGTCCAATGCAAATCTCTTTTATCCTCTCTGAGCTGCTGCTGCATGGCCCTCCTCCCTGGGATTCCTCGCCGCAGATCTGTCCTACATGGGGGTTCAGAGGAGTCATCCTAACACCATCTGACCCCTGTCCCTCTCATGCTCAAAACATGTTTGTAGCTTTCATCACCCTCATGACGTGGATACTGCTGGAGTTCTCCAGATACTTGCTCAGAGTGCAGCTATTGTGAAAACTTGACTCTTTGTTCCCCAAATAAGCCTCAGAATCTGGATATGGGGCCTGAATCTGCATGTGCGGCCTCAACACATGCTCCAACTTGGACTAGAATGTCCTTCTCTCTGGTCTCAGTTAACTCTGTTCCTTGGGTCTCAGTCGCAGTCCTCCACCATGAAGCCTCCTGTCTGACCCTCGGTTTTAAAATTTTTCTTAGTGTAAATACGTCTCATTCTCAAAAGAATCAGCACATTTTAAAGTATTCTGGCACAAGCTGGTTTTCAGCTTTCAAAGCCATTATTTATTATTTATTTATTTATTTATTTATTTATGTATTTATTGGCGACAGAATCTTGCTCTGTCACCCAGGTTGGAGTGCAGTGGCGCGATCACAGCTCACTGCAGCCTCCACCTCCCCGTTTCAGTGCCTCAGCCTCTCGAGTAGCTGGGATTATACCACGCCACCACGCCTGGCTAATTTTTTGTATTTTAAGTAGAGACAGGGTTTTATCATGTTGCCCAGGCTACTCTGAAATTCATGACCTCAGGCAATCTGCCCACCTCAGCCTCCCAAGTGCTAGGATTACAGGTGTGAGCCACACACCTGGCCCAGAGCCCAAATGTTTATACGTTTCTGCAGATTTCTATACAGTGGAATGCCTTTTCTGTGCTCCTATGTAAGACCTGTAGTATGCACATATTACCCTGTGTGAGTGAGTGTCTGTGTCAGTGCCTGACTACCCCACCAGACTGGGAAGTTCTTGTGAACATCAGCTAGTTCTGTTCCATCTCCAGGTCCCTAGAGTCCAGTTGAGGGCTAGACACACAGGGAGGATGAGCCAGTGGGTGGGTTCTATAGGAGGAAGGGAGGCAGGGACTGGGACTCGCTGGGCCAGGAGGAGCAGGGTGCGGGGGAAGGGGCTGGGTAGAGGGGCTGGGCTGGGCCGCACCTTGTCTATGTAACTCCTGGCCCAGCCCCTTCACTTCCTGAAGGTGGACCTGGGCTTAGGCCTCAGCTCTTCTTGCCCGTCTGCCTCCGACAACGCTTCCGGTAGAGACAGAAACAGCAGCTCAAGACGAGGAGGCTTGGGACCAGCACCGATGGTGGCCAGGGCCCAGGGGGCACTGCAGAGGAGTGGAGACAACACATTGAGGCCTGGGCAGGCGAGGCTGGAATGCTGGCGTCCGCACCTATAGGCATTTTCATTCCATTTCTTTCGTTTTCTTCCACCCTAATGTGGCCTATTATAGAGAGATTCGATGCCTGCTTGAGCTGGCTACATCTGGATTTGCCTGTGGATTCTGCCTTTCCTTACCGCCCCCGCCCCATTTCTGCTCAACTCCTGATGCTTTTAGAAAGAAGCCCTGCTCCTCATCGGGCCTCCAGTTTCCTTATCTGTAAAAGAAAGGGCTAGGTGGACAATTCTGAATCCCATTCCATGCAACACCCCTTGATCCGGTTTGATTTTGTTGCAAATTTGTTCCTTCCTTTTTCCCAGGTTCTTTCAGCGTTCCTGATCCAGGATGACGACCCGGAATCCCAGCCAGATTTCCAGCCCCGCCTGCCCGAGTACACCCGTCCGAATCCTGCCCCTCGGAATTCTGGCCGGGCTTTCTCTCTACTCGCCCCCACCCCCACCGTCTTCCCCCGGTCTTGCTCACCCGGGGCCGTGGCTGATGCGACTGGAGTCAGGAGGCGTGTCGGGCGATGGAGGCCCAGGGTTGGGGGCTCCGGGAACATGGTGGCGGGTTCCTAGAGTCTTTTCTGCAGAGGTACTCAAGCACCCTAGTCCCCCATTCCCACCCCAGACGTCAATGAGCCCCGCAACAAAACTCCAACTCCCATAGGGCCATGCACGAACAACCGCGCAGAAACCGGACAGCTACCGCGAAGTCATGCTGGGAGTTGTAGTTTCAGCCTCCTGCGCTTGAGATGGGGGTGTCAGGACTAGTTGCATCCAAAAGAGATACCCTCTTCCTCCACGGCCCCACAGGCATCCCGCTGACTTCTGCCTCGTCCTCGCCCTCCCGCAGAGCCTGAACAGGAAGCAGGCGAAGGCAGGCGTGGGAACCAGCGGACCGCGTTGCCCAAACAACAACCGGCTCTTCTCGGCGGGAGTGGGAGCAAAGCTGGTTGCCCGGGCAACGGTCTGTTGCAGGACAACGGGCAGGCTGACCACTGAACGCGAGTCGGCGAACGAAGGAGCTCGCTCCGGTCCCACTGGTGCCCGGGAACCCCGATAACCCGACTGGGATCCTGAGGTCCCGCAAGGTGGGGAGGGAGCAGCCTGTAGTCCGAGCAGCCACAGCCATCTCCTCCGCACACCTGGTCCTGGGAACTGAGACGTAGTTCCCTCTTCCCTCTCCCCAGTTTTGCTGGAGGGCGGGTCGGGGGCTGCCCAGTGCCTGTGCTGAGTCCCCCTCATCCTTCTTGGCCTGTTGGTCTCTCCACGCATCCGTGCTGTCTTCACACCTGCTCTCAATGACCGCCTCAGTCTCCACACTCCTCTCTTGAAAGCCCAAATAGGCGTCTTCCTGTGTCTGCCTCCCCATTCCGCCGTCTCTAATGCCTGCTCGCTGGCCTCTGTCCCCTGGGTCTCTCCCCTTCGCTCTGCCTGCGCCCCCTCCCTGCCCTCGGCTCTTTGTCTTCTCCATACCTGACTCGCGTCCCCAAATCCCTCCCTCACTTCCAGGCTCCAGCCCTCCACTGTCTCTGTTGGTCCCCCAGTGCCCCAGCCCCCCACTCCCACACCCCTTGCCTCTAGGGATGCGGATGCGGATCGTAGGGCAGGGTCCCAGCAACTCCTACCTGCTCAGCGGCCGAGGCCAGGGCGCTCCCAGGAGGCAGGCGTAGCCCGCTTGAACCCCGCCCCGCACGTGGGCGGTGGCGCTATCCCAGGCTGTCGCGGAGCTTCCGGCCGGGCAGAGGCCGCGGAGCGAAGCCGAGATCCCGTCGCGCGCGTGTGCCCGTGTGCGTGTGCGCGTGTGTGTGGTGTGTATTGTGTGTGCCCGTATTTGGTCTCGGGTAGCGGAAGCCCCGCCCCGCCCTCCTCCGCCTCCACCGGGGAACCTCGGTGACGCCCACGAATGTTATCTGGTGCCTTAAATTTTCTGCCTTCTGGTCCAGTCGTTGGCCGTCCAGACCACTCCACTCCTCCCGCCCCAACACACACGACACACACCCTGTATAGCCCCGAAGAGCAGCATGCCAGGATACTCAGTCCTAGCACCTAGGAGACCCTAGACCCTCACTGGAGACCCAGACTCTGCGGGGTTCAGCCTCAAAGTACCCAGCTATCAGTCCCCAAACATCGCCCTCTAAGTTCCCCTAACACCAGTCCCAAGAGGCGGCCAGTGCGGTGACTCACACCTGTAATCTCAGCACTTTGGGAGGTCGAAGCAGGAGGAATGCTTGAGCCGGGGCGGGCTCCAGTCTGGGCAACATAGCAAAATCCCGTCTCTACAAAAATGAGTCGGCGTGGTGAGTAGTACCTGTGATCACAGCTACTCTAGAGGCTGAGGTGGAGGAAGATAACCTGGGCCCAGGAGGTCAAGCCTGCGGTAAGCCACTGCACTCCCAGACTGGCCAAAGCAAGACCGTGTCTCTCAAAAACAAAAACAAAAACAGAACAAACAACAACAACAAAAAAGAGTAAAGAAAAAGCTCAGAAAGCAAGTCCCCAAGCACTTGGTTCATGAGCCCTGTCCATACTGCCCAGACCCTGGACACAGGCGTCTCTGGACTCTGCCTTTCTCTGAGAGACTCGACCACCCAAACCTACATTTTTCATGTGCAAGTAATGGCCAGGTCCCTCTAGTCCCCCTCTGGACGTTTGCCTCTATCCCTAGATACCAGAACCCATCCTACTCCCAACCCAATACTATTTCAGGACCCAGAAATCCATGGCCAGGACAACTGTCTCTGGGGAGAACAGTGATTTAATAAATTATAGGATAGAAGGAAAAATATATGTGGATGGTGGGGTGCAGGGAGACCTTAGGCCTGGGGACTCACTCGACCTCAGATTATAGAGGCCAGTTTGGTTTCTGAAGTAAAAGCAGGGCAGGATCCTGCCTGCCTTTGGTCCTCAAGGAGCCAGAACTCAGACCCAAATTCACTTCCTGCCTCAGAATCCAGGCTCAGTCTGTTTCTTCCCATTATCCTGGACTCCCAGCTTCCTCCTCCCTGAAAGACCTAGGAAATCCAAGCTACCATCTCTCTCCTTCAAGAACTAAGATCCAGATCCCCAGCTCCCACATAGGGTTCATCTGAAGCCCATCAGACCACTCTCTCTGGGAAAGCAGAGTTTGGGATCCCAGTCTCCTCCTCCCAGCACCTAGGGTCTGGGAGCCCAGCCCTCTGCTTTTCCAGAATCTGGGCTCAAGTGGGCATTCAGAGCTTGAGATGCCTGGGCTGCTGACCCAGCCCTCTCGTCACTTGAACCTCCAACTTGTAGGCCTAGATGGCGGCCACATTCTCATAGATGAGATTTCGACACTCTCATAAATGACTTCCTTCTTGGCTGGGGCCTGGGCTGACTGTTGGAGGAACCGCAGGATGCACTGGTGCAGGGAACACGTGCTGAGCCTGGGGAAGCGGGCATGGGAGTGAAGGCCTCCCCAGATCTGGGCTGTGTGGGACCCCAGGATACCTCTACCACCAGCTCCCGATCACCAATAATGGCTGAGGGCTGCCTCACCTCAGTCTGCACCATCAACGGCGGCTCTCTCTCATCTTCCTCACAAAGCTGAAGGGCCCAAGGAGACCCTGGGACTGCAGCTGCGAACAGGGCGATCCAAGGCAATGGGGGTGCCTGTGCGGCCCACACCAGCACTAGGCAGAACAAGGAAGGGTCAGACCAAGGGGGCAGGAGTGCGAGGTCTGGGGTCATGGCTGATTGGAGGGATCTGTGTTTGAATGATGACATGTATGCCTGCTCACACCTGTAATCCCAGCACTTTGGGAGGCCAAGGCAGTGGATCACCCAAGGTCAGGAGGTCGAGACCAGCCTGGCCAGCCTGGCGCGGCTCACTGTCTCTACTAAAAATACAAGTGTGGTGTGGTGGCGCATGCCTGTAATCCCAGCTACTTGGGAGGCTGAGGTGAAGAATTGCTTGAACCCAGGAGGTGGAGGTTGCAGTGAGCTGAGATCGCACCATTGCACTCCAGCCTGGGCAACAAGAGCAAAACTCCATCTCAAAAACAACAACAACAACAACAACCCCACCAAAACTATGCCTGCAGTTCCTTCCATGTGTTAGGCTCTGTTCTAAGTGCCTGATGGGCCCTCTTCACTCCTCCCAAGGAAGCCTAAGAGTGGGATGTACTAGCATCCTTTGTACAGATAGAAATGGAGGCTGAATGAGGTGAAGTCCCATACCCCAGGCCACTCAGCTAATAAGTGACAAGCTGGGAGTTCAAACACAGGAAGAAGAACTCTCCAGCCAATCATTGAATAGTCCTTTAAACACAAAAAATCCGTCTTTCGTTTTGTTTTGTTTGTCGCGAGGCTGGAGTGCAGTGGCATGACCTCGGCTCACTGCACCCTTGACCTCCTGGGCTCAAGTGAACCTCCTGTCTCAGCCTCCTGAGTAGCTCGGATCATAGGCACCGCCACTGCATCTGGCTAACTTATTAAATGTTTTATAGAGCGGGGTCTTGCATGTTGCCCAGGAAGGTCTCAAACTCCTGGACTCAAGTGATCCTCCCACCTCAGTCCCCTAAAGTGCTGGGATTATAGGCATGAGCTCCTGTGCCCAGTGAAAAATTAGCTGTTTTTAGGTTGGGCACAGTGGCTCACACCTGTAATCCCAGCACTTTGGGAGGCGCGGTGGCCAGCAGGATCACCGAGGTGAGGAGATCAGGAGACCATCCTGGCCAACATGGTGAAACCATCTCTACTGAAATACCAAAAAAAAAAAAAAAAGAAAAGAAAAAAAAATTAATGAGCATGGTGGCATGCTCCTGTAGTCCTAGCAACTCCGGGGAGCTGAGGCAGAGATCGCTTGAACCCGGAAGGCAGAGGTTGCAGTGAGCTAAGATCACACCACTTCACTTAGCCTGGGTGACAGAGCGAGACTCATCTCAAAAAAAAAAAAAAAAAAAAAAATTAACTATTTTTAGGCTGGCGCAGTGGCTCACGCCTGTAATCCCAACACTTTGGGAAGCTGAGGCAGATGGATCGCAGAGTCAGGCATTGGAGACAAGCCTGGCCAACATGGAAAACCCCATCTCTACTAAAAATACAAAAATTAGCCAGGTGGAGTGGCAGGCGCCTGTATTCCCAGCTACTCAGGAGGCGAGGGCCAGGAGAATCGCTTGAACCACGGGCGGGAGACACAGTGAGCTGAGATCAAGCCATTGCACTCCAGCCTGGGTGACACAGCGAGACTCCGTCTCCAAAAAAAAAGAAAAAAAAATTAGCTATTTGAATGTGAGCAATTTATCACACTCACAACATTGTGCAGCCTCCATCTCTATCTACTTGCAAAACACTTTCATCATCCCTAAAGCAGACACCACGCCCATTAGGCTGCCTCTCCCCATTCCTGTCTCCCCTCCAGGGCCTGGGAAGCTACTAATCTGTTTAGTGTCTGTTGCTTTGGCTGTTCTAGATATGCTTCTGGACATATCCTCTAATGGAATGATGTAATGATATCCACTCCAACTTTAAAATGGGGGGACATTGCCGGGCATGGTGGTTCATGCCTGTAATCCCAGCACTTTGGGAGGCCGAGGTGGTCGGATCACCTGGGGTTGGGAGTTCGAGACCAGCCTGACCAACACCGTAAAACCCCGTCTCTACTAAAAATAAAAATTAGCCAAGTGTGGTGGCACATGCCTGTAATCCCAGCTACTCAGGAGGCTGAGGCAGGAGAATCGCTTGAACCTGGGAGGCGGAGGTTGCGGTGAGCGGAGATCGCGCCATTGCCCTCTAGCCTGGGCAACGAGGTGACTCTGCCTCCAAAATAAACAAATAAATAAATAAAACAAAATGGGAGACAATTTTTGCCATGAGGCTGTTATGAGGAGCAGTAGGACTGTGTAAATGTTCGCTGTCACTGAAACCAGAGCCCCAGTCTCAGGGGCTGTCACTCCTCCTCATCTCCCTAATCGTTACCGTTAGTTGAAATCTGACCTACAGGACTTCAGCATAAATATGAGGAAACGTCAGGTGCGCGGCTCACGCCTGTCATCCCAGCACTTTGGGAGGCCGAGGCGGGCGGATCACGAGGTCAGGAGTTCGAGACCAGCCTGGCCAACATGGTGAAACTAAAAATGATCTCTACAAAAATACAAATATTAGCCGGGTGCAGGGGTGAGCATCTGTAATCCCAGCTACTCAGGAGGCTGAGACAGGAGAATTGCTTGAACCTGGAAAGCAGAGGTTGCAGTGAGCTGAGATTGTGCCATTGCACTCCAGCCTGGGCGACAGGGCGAGACTCCATCTCGACAAATAAAACAAAACAAAACAAAACAAAACAAAACAGAACAAAAATAAGTATCAGGGAAGCAGTTGATGGGGGAGGCCCTGCACTCCAGTACAAGGAAGTGTGTCCATTGTTTCTTAGAATCTGCTGACCAGCATCTCCGTCCTGCGCCTTCATCCTTTCTCCCTTCTCTTCTGCATTCAACTTTCTCTGGCTTTACCTTTTCATTTTCTTTTTTCCTTTTTTTTTCTTAAATCGGAACAGAGTCACCCAGGCTGGAATGCGGTGGTGCGACCGCGGCTCACTCGACCTCTGCCTCCCGGGTTCAAGTGATTCTCCTGCCTCAGGGTCCCGGTAGCTGGGATTACAGGTGCCCGCCACCACACCCGGCTAATTTTTATGTTTAGTAGAGATGAAGGTTCGCTAGGTTGGCCAGGCTGGTCTCGCTCCTGAACTCAAGTGATCCACCCACCTCAGCCTCCCAAAGTGCTGGGACCCCTGGCGTGACCACCATCACCTGGCCTGCCTTTCATCTTTCATTCCCATCTTTTCACATCCTTATCTTCCTTTTCTTTTTTTTTTTTTTTTTGAGACGGAGTCTCGCTCCTGTCGCAGGCACAGGTGCAGTGGCACGTTCTCGGCTTACTGGAAGCTCCGCCTCCCGGGTTCACGCCATTCTCCTGCCTCAGCCTCCCGAGGAGCTGGGACTACAGGCGCCCGCCACCTCGCCCGGCTAGTTTTTGTATTTTTAGTAGGAGATCAGGGACATTTCACTGTGTTAGCCAGGATGGTTTCAATCTCTTGACCTCGTGATCCCACTGCCTCGGCCTCTAAAGTGCTGGGATTGGCGTCGGGCTCCCACTCCAGCCCTCCTTCTTTCCTTAACTTAGCCCCACATCCCCCTTTATCTTCGCATCCTCCTCCTTCTCTCCCTCTTCCACCTCCTGTAAGTTCCTAGGGTCATCTAACACCACCGTCTGAGCCCCAAGGGAGCGGTTCTCTCAAGACCGAGGGTCCTGGGCTAGTCCCCACACCTGCAGTGTACAGTGGGTGGGCCCCCTCCGTGGTCTGATCCAGCCACTGCCGGAGCATCCTCCAGAAAGCCAGCAAGATGTCTGGGGAGGAGGGAACGCCGTGATCTGGCCAGGCCTGGTAGTGGAAGATTACCGCACGGATAGCGTCTTCTGTTCCTCCACCTGGAAGGAGGGGGCTCACAGGCTCTGGAGATGGGCCTGCGAGGACCCGGCTTCTACCACTAGGAGTGGGTTCCCTGGGAGCACCTACTCCTCAGGAGTGAGTGGAAGGTTGGGTTAGTGGAGGTCCTGGATGCATGGCATATGCAGGGGAAGGCTGAGGGGCCAGGACGGGGCACAGACACACGCACCTGGAGGAGCTGCAGTTCCCGCACCGTCCAGTTCTCCATCACTTCCTCACCCACCAGGGTTACCTGCAGGTGTCCATGGGTGCAGGGCTGCGAGTCCAGAGGCCAGTAATGCTCACACTTCACCTGGGGAGGGAGGAGGGTCAGAGAACAGAACTCCTCTTCCCCAGATCTGCTAAGTCTCTGCTTTAGGCACCATATGAACCAGCAGATGGGCTGGGCAGAGTGGGAACAGGTCTACACCGAAGACACCTGGGTCACCCTGGAGGAATCCATGAGGTCTGGGTGTGGGGTCTACATTGGATCAGTGTTCGGGGCAGGGTCCTGCACCCGGTCAACACCCAGGACTCAGATCTCTCTGGCCTGACCTCCATGCAGTTGGTCAGCATGACCAGGGTGTGGCTCTGCTGTTCCACACCCAGGCGCAAAGTCACCCACCGTCTGTGGCAGGAGACCCTGGGTGGCGATGAACTCCCGGGGGGCTCCGGGAAACCCTGGTTGAGGGGCCCAGGCGGGTCAGGGGGGCCTCTAAATGACCCCCCGCCCAGCTCTTATCTCTCCAGGCCTTCTGGAGCACCCTTCCAATCCAACCGACCTTACGGGCATGAAGCTGGCATTGATGTAGTCAGAGCCTGGCTCTCGATGGATGGGCTTCAGGAGCACGGGACCAGTCATCTAGAAGAGGCCAGCATTAGCCAGGCAGAGAGACCCAGAGAGGCACAGAGACAAGACCAAGACCCATGGACAGAAGTCATGCTGAGATGCCGGCAGACCCTGGGAGCCATGCAGGGGGATTGGGAGGCGGAGGGACCCCAGCTGCAGGGAGCAGGCCAGGAGGACTCTCAAAGGGACCCACAGCCGGGCGCAGTGGCTCACGCCTGTAATCCCAGCACTTTGGGAGGCTGAGGTGGGTGGATCACTGAGGTCAGGAATTTGAGACCAGCCTGCTTCCAACATGGTAAACAGTCACTACTAAAAATACAAAAATTAGCCAGGCATGGTGGTGGGCCCTGTAGTCCCAGCTACTAGGGAGGCTGAGGTGGGAGGATCGCTTGAACCTGAGAGGTGGAGGTTGCACTGAGCCAAGGTGGCGCCATTTCACTCCAGCCTGGGCAACAGAGCAAGACTCTGTCTCAAAGGAAAAAAATGGGGGGCAGGCACAGTGGCTTACACCTGCAATCCCAGCACTTTGGGAGGCCGAGGCGGGTGGATCACAAAGTCAGGAGATCGAGGCCATCCTGGCTAACACGGTGAAATCCCGTCTCTACTAAAAATATAAAAATTAGCCGGGCGTGCGAGCGGGCACCTGTAATCCCAGCTACTCGGGAGGCTGAGGCAGGAGAATGGCGTGAACCCGGGAGGCGGAGGTTGCAGTGGCCAAGATCGCACTCACTGCACTCCAGCCTGGGCGACACAGCGAGACTCATCTCAGAAAAAAAAAAAAAGAAAGAAAGAAAAGAAAAGAAAAAGAAAGAAAGAAAGAAAGAAAAAGAAAAAGAAAAAAGTGTGTGGGGGTACCCATGGTAGGAGGCAGGTCTTGTTTCTCAAAGCGGGTAGGAGAAGGGGACCGGGATGGGGTACTGAGTGAACCCGGTACTGAGTAGCTGGGGCCAGGCAGCAGAAGCCGAGACTCACAGGGCAGTACATTTCTGTGGCGGTTCTTGCCATTGTTCACGGAGCTAGCGCCACAAATCTGAGACTGGCTGTGGTCCACCAGGGGACAGTTGCTGGGGTGCAGGCAGAGAGCGTGCCTGATGTTAGATTTTCTCTACTTTTTCCCTAGGGTATCCCCAAGCTCCCCTTGCCTTCTTCGACATCACCCCTTGTCTATCCCTTGCACCCTGAGATTCTATGGCACCCACCAAAACAGAACCTATGTGTGCCACCTGCCCTGTGGGGCATTCAGGAGGATTTAGGGAACCATGGGACTTCCTCAGGCAGGCAGGAAAGCAGGTGTCAGGAAAGACTGCATGGTGGGAGCGGAGAGGTGCTAGGACTGACCGCCATTATTTAGATGTCAGTGAGCGGAAAGATAACGTGCCTGAGGGTCTGCACAATCCAGCGCTTATGCAATGCTGCTTTGCTTAATCCTGAAGTCATGAGGTCTGGCCAGGGGTGGGGATTGGGGATTAGGCCACCGGAGAGGCTGAGAACTCAGCCGCCTGTCCTATCCCACCTGGTACTAGATGCCACCAAAACCGCCAGTTGCTGTCCTTCTCATTCTTCCTGGCGTGGTCAGCGAAGTCTTCGTGGATGTCCCCTGGGAAGCTAGGAGAAAGACCCATTAACCTCTTTTAATCTTATCTTTTGAGGAGCTGGGCACGGTGGCTCACATCTGTAATCCCAGCACTTTGGGAGGTTGAGGCGGGCGGATCACCTGAGGTCAGGAGTTTGAGACCAGCCTGACCAACATGGAAAACCCCATCTCTACTAAAAATACAAAAATTAGCTGGGCGTGGTGGTGTCTGCCTGTAGTCTACTAGCTCCTCAGGAGGCTGAGGCAGGAGAATCGCTTGTACGGGAGGTGGGGTTGATGGCCGGGGTGCACCACTTTGGAGACCAGCCTGGGCAGCAGAGCCGAACTCCTGTCTCCCTCTCTCTCTCTCTCTATATATATATATACACACACACACACACACACACACACACACATATATCAGCCCACTCACTGAAATCTTATAATGATAGTATGTGTATATATGTATACATATATATAACTGTGTGTAAGTAAATATATGTATATATATACACATGTATATTTTATATATGTAAAAGTGCTTTTTAGGATCAATGAAAAGGTATTTTTGATCCAGCGTGCCACTCTGGGTATATCCCCAAAATAACTGAAAACAAAAGACTTAAAAAGCTATTTACATGCCCCATATTATAATGTTTCCCAAGGATAGCCCAGGGTGACATAACAAGCCTCATCTATGGGAACGGATAATAAACATTAATTCTGAAATGAACCAATTAGACTCTATGACTCAGCCTCAAAAACAGGAGGCTCGTTTAGCTCACGCCTGTCATTCCAGCACTTTGAAAGGAGGCTGGGCCAGAAGGCTTGCTTGAGCCCAGGAGTTAAGACCAGCCTGGGCAACCTGGCAGGACCTTGTCTCCACAGGAATTTAAGTAAAAAATCATCCAGGCATAATTGGTGCACAACTGTAGTCCCAGCTGGGGCTGAGATGAGAGGATCACTTGAACCTGGTCAGGCTGCAGTGAGCTGTGTTTGCCCACACTATACTCCAGCCTAGAGTGAGATCCACTGTCTCAATTTTTAAACTAAAATTAAAGCGTTAAAAAAGTTGTGACTTCATGGAACTTCAGCTCCTTTCTCACTCTTCCTCTTGTAATATAATTTTTTTCCTTTGGGACAGTCTGGTTCTGTCGCCCAGGCTGGGCGCAGTGGCACGATCTCGCTCACTGTAACCTCCTGCCTCCCAGGTTCAAGCAAATTCTCCTGCCTCAGCCTCCCGAGTAGCTGGGACTACAGGTGCCCGCCACCCCACCCGGCTAATTTTTTGTATTTTAGTACAGATAGGGTTCACCGTATTTCCAGGCTGGTCTATAACTCCTGATCTCAGGCCGTCCTCCCCTCAAGCTCAAGTGCTGGGATTACAGGCATGAGTCCTCTGCTTCAACTTGTAATAAATTTTATAATGTTTCTGTCTCGGCTGGGCGCGATGCCTCATGCCTGTAATCCCAGCACTTTGGGAGGCTGAGGCAGGTGGATGGCTTGAAGTCAGGAGTTTGAGACCAGCCTGGCCAACATGGTGAAACCGTCTCTACCAAATACAAATAATCTACAGGCGAGTAGTGTTGCACACCAGCAGTCCCGATTACTCGGGAGGCTGAGGCAGGAGAATCGCTTGAACCCGTGATGCAGAGTTGCAGTGAGCCGAGATCGCACCACTATGCTCCAACCTGGGTGACAGAGCGAGACTCAGGTAAATAAAATAATAATAATAATAATAATAAACTAATAATAATAAACCTACTCAGACAGCCCTACCTCAAACTTCTCATGCAGACCAGTGTTTCTCCTTCCTGTCATCCCATCACCGCCAGCCTGGAGTCTATATCTACCACTCCAGAACACCTTTCTCCAAATACGTCGCAGCCTCCCTGTCTGTAATTGCAAGGCCACGTTTCAGCCCATGACTGACTGCTCAACATCACGTTTAGCACACACTTGGCCTGCCTGTTTCCTGGATCTTGCACTGTTCTGAACACTGATCTGTGGCCCCACACCACCCAGCTGCTGCTAGATCCATTTCCTGGGCAGGTCCCTTCTCCTCTGTCTGTCTTAAAGGTAACTGTTTCTAGTGTCCAACCCCAAGCCTTTTCTCACTGGACACACACACTTCTTACAGAGTTTGGCCATTCCTGTAGTTTCACTTTCTTTCTTTTCTCTCTTTTTTTTTTTTTTGAGACAGAGTCTCATTCTGTGCCAGGCTGCAGTGCAGTGGTATGATCTCAGCTCACTGCCACCTCAGCCTCCCAGCTCAAATGAATTCTCCTGCCTCCGCCTCCTGGGCAGCTGGGATTACAGGTGCCCACCACCATGCCAGCTAATTTTTTGTATTTTTAGTAGAAACGGGATTTCACCATGTTGGTCAGGCTGATCTCGAACTCCTGACCTCAAGTGATCCTCCCGCCTTAGCCTCTCAGCGTGCTGGGATTACAGGTGTGAGCCACCGCGCCTGGCCTCTTGTCTGGATTAATGCAAATCTCTTCCCTTTGCTTCTTACACCTGTTAGACTGTGCCACTAATCTATTCAAAATCTTCCAAAAACTCCCATCTCACAATAAATCCAAAGTCCTAACTTTCATCTACAAGCCTGTGCCTGCTCTGGCCCCACTGATGTCTCTCTGATCTCATTTCCCACCTCCTCAGCTTTCCTCGCTCTGCTTACTGGGAGATGCAGATATTCTCTGGAGCCCTCACGTGTGCTGGCTGCTGCCTCGGGCCACTCGCCCGTCCTGTCACTCCCAGACGCCCTTCTCAGATGCCTGCACTGCTCCTCTCTTACTTGCGTAGGTTTGGCCTCCAGTGACTTCCTCTTAGTCATCTAGATTGTAAGGGTTTCTTGAATATCCTGCCTAAAATATTCCTGCGAGTGTGGCGGCTCACACCTGTAATGCTACTTTGCTTTGGGAGGCGGGTGGAAGGATTGCTTGAGGCCAGGAGTTCGAGACCAGCCTGAGACCAGCTGTTATTACCCTCCACTCCATCTCTTAAAATTTAAAAATTAGCCAGGCATTGTGGTGCATGCCTGTGGTCCCAGCTACAGGGGAGGCTGAGGTGGGAGACCACTGGAGCCCAGGAGGTCGAGGTTGTGTGGTGAGCTATGATAGAGCCACTGCCTCCCGGCCAGACACAAGTGAGACCTGTCTTGACAAATTAATACACAAATAAAATAAAATAGTTCATTGATTCTCTCTAATTTCTTCTAATTTTCACATTAGAAGAATCCATAGACCAGGGCCATGGCTCATAGTGTAATCCCGGCACTTTGGGAAGCCCAGGTGGGTGGATCACAAGGTCAGGAGAGTTTGAGACCAGCCTGGCCAACATGGTGAAACCCCATCTCTACTAAAAATACAAAAATTAGCCGGGCGTGGTGGTGCGTGCCTGTGGTCCCAGCTACTCAGGAGGCTGAGGCAGCGTAAATTGCTTGAACCCAGGAGGCAGAAGTTGTGGTGAGCCAAGATCATGCCACTGCACTTCAGCCTGGGCAACAGAGCAAGACTCCATCAAAAAAAAAAAAAAAAGAGACCATCAAGAAGTATTCCTCTACCCTTCCTATCCCCTCCTCTTGCTTTGTCTCCAAGTTTATTCTCTCTATATGTAGGTACAATCGGCTCACTTGCAACCTTTGTTCCTGGATTCAAGTGATTCTCCTGCTGCAGCCTCCTGAGTAGCTGGGATTACAGGTGTGCACCACCATGCACCTGGCCACTGTCTGAAAGTTTATATCATATTTTTTAATGACCTTGTTTATTTGTTTATTTTATTTTTTGAGATGGAGTCTTGCTCTGGCCCAGGCTGGAGAGCAGTGATGCGATGTTGGCTCACTGCAAGCTCCTTCCAGTTCACGCCATTCTCCTCCTCTTGGCCTCCCCCAAGTAGCTGGGACTGCAGGTGCCCACTACCACGCCGGCTAATTTTTGCTATTTTTAGTAGAGGCAGTTTCACCGTGTATGAGGATAGTCTCAATCTCCTGGCCTCGTCTGCCGCCTCTGCCTCCCAAAGTGCTGGGACCAGCGTGAACCACACATGCCCGATCTTGTTTATTGATATCTCACTGTACTGGGATTAAGCCTCTGGCGGGCAGAATCTTGGTTTAATTTGCTGTTTGTTTGGCACCTAGAACAGTGCCTGATACCTGCTGGTGCTCAGCTGATATTTGCTGAATGAATGAATGAATTCTGCTGAATGAATGAATGAATGTCAGGAGTTGAGACCAGAACTGAATTCACTGGCCCAGGCTGCTTGGGGAGTGAGTTGAGATGGAAGGGCTGTGGTCCCTGTCGCAGAAATCATGAGCCTGGGTCCCTTCCTGAGACCTTTGTGGGTAGATGCACTGATTCACCCTCCTGGCGGTCTTACTAGGTTGCCCAGGCTGGTCTCGAACTCCTGGCCTCAAGCAATCCTTCCACTTCGGCCTCCCAAAGTGTGGCATTACAGCGTGAGCACCACACCCGCAGGAATATTTTAGGCAGGATATTCAAAAGCTCTACAGCCTGGCCAGCAGCCAGCAAACACCCCTTGATTGTAGATTCTTTCCGTGCGCCCGAGACCTTCTGCTCACCTGACCAGATCCTGAGTTCTGGTTTCTGCTGGTTCTTCTTATTCCTGGGAAAGGATGTTGGATACGAAGGCTCAGGGGTGAGGCTGCAGCAGGAGATCCTCTTCCTTCTTCTCAGCCCACCTCAGGCGATCAGCCTGTGATCTCTACCTCCTCTTCAAGGAAAAACAGCAGGCCCACCAGGATGAGAAATAGGAGGATGCCCACGATGGCTCCGGCAGCCAGCCCTGGCAGGGCGCTATGAGAACTCTTAGGCGCAGGTCTTAACACAGTCAGCTGTCTCCAACCTTGCCCAGCCTTTCCTCTTCCCGGGAGCCTGGTCAACTACAGCTGACCCACTTGAACATCACGGGTGTGAACTGCGTGGGTCCAGTTATGCCCACACACTTATCCATGGATTTTCCTCTACCCCTGAGACAGCAAGACCAGGCCCTCTCCTTCCTCCTCCTCCTCTGCCTACTCAACCCGAAGACTACAAGGATGAGCCTTTATAATGATCCACTTCATAAATAGTGAATACATTTCCCTCTTCCTTAGGATTTTTTTTTTTTTTTTTTTTTTTTTTTTGAGAGACGGAGTCTTGCTCTTGGCGGGCTGCAAGTGCAGTGGCCGGATGTGGCTCACTGCAAGCTCCGCCTCCCGGGTTCACGCCATTCTCCTGCCTCAGCCTCCCGGAGTAGCTGGGACTACAGGCGCCCGCTACCTCGCCCGGCTAGTTTTTGTATTTTTAGTAGAGACGGGGTTTCACCGTGTTAGCCAGGATGGTCTCGATCTCCTGACCTCGTGATCCGCCCGTCTCGCCTCCCAAAGTGCTGGGATTACAGGCTTGAGCACGCGCCCCGGCCCTTTTTTTTTTTTTTTTTTTGAGACAGTCTGGCTCTGTCGCCCAGGCTGGAGTGCAGTGGCGTGATCTACGGCTCTCCTGTTCTCAACCTCCCTGGTTTACGCCATTCTCCTGCCTCGCCCGAGTATTAGGACTACAGACGCCCGCCACCACGTCAGGCTAATTTTTTGTATTTTTAGTAGAGATGGGGGTTTCACCATGTTAGCCAGGATGGTGTCGATCTCCTGACCTCATGATCCGCCTGCCTTGGCCTCCCCCAAACTGCTGGGATTACAGGCATGAGCCACCGCGCCCAGGTGTTATATGCAGATTTTCTGTGTGTAGGGACCATTGTTCAAAGTCACCTGTCCATCATTTCAGAGAGGTGACCTGGGTGCTGAAGAATGACTCCTGGCCAGGTGCGATGGCTCGCCCTGTAATCCCATGCTTTGGGAGGCTGAGGTGGTGGATCAGCTGAGCCAGAGTTTGAGATCAGCCTGGGCAACATAACAAAACCCTGCCTCTACTAAAAATACAAGTTATCTGGGTATAGTGGTGCACACCTGTCATCAGCTACTAAGGAAGGCTAGGCATAATCACTTAATTTCCAGAGGTGGAGGTTACAGTGAGCCTGAGACTACACCACTGCACTCCAGCCTGGGCGATACAGCGAGACTTTTCTGAAAAAAAAGGACCCTAACAAAATAGCTGGGCATGGTAGTACATGCCTGTAGTCCCTAGCTACTCGGGGGACTGAGGCGGAGATCACTTGAGCCTGGGAGGTGGGCTGCAGTGAGCCATGGCAGTCGTGTACTGCACTCCAGCCTGGGCAACTGAGGAGTGAAATCATGTCTCAAAAAATAACAAAAACAAAAACAAAAGCAAAAGTGACTCTCACCTTCCATGGCTTAGACTTGTGGTTCTCAACAAGAGTGATTTTGTTCCCAAAGAGACACTGGGCAATGTCTGGAGGCGTTTTGGTTGTCACAGCTGGGAAGTGGGAGTGCTACTGGCATCAGTTGGTGAAACCAGACGTGCAGCTCAATATCCTGCAATGCACAGGATGCCCTACCCCCAGCAAAGAAGGATCTAGTCTGAAACATCTGTAGTGCCGAGGCAGAGGAAACACTTAGCCGGTTGTGAAATCATCCCAGCATGGGCGGCTTCCTGTTTCTCCCCAGAATTGAAGCACATATTCTCGGTCCTGCTGGCTGGGAAGGGGCCCCAGCAGCCCAGGCCTACCGAGATCTGGTGGTGTCTTTTTTTTTTTTTGGTTTGTTTTTTTGAGACAGGTTTTGCCCTGTTGCCCAGGCTGAAGTCCCTGGCATGGCTACGATCGGCTCACTGCAACCTCCCACCTCCTGGGTTCTGAGTGATTCTCCTGCCTCAGCCTCCTGAGTAGCTGGGATTACAGGCACACGACGCTACGCCCGGCTAATTTTTTGTATTTTTAGTACAGACAGGGTTTCTCCATGTTGGTCAGCCTGGTCTCGAACTCCCAACCTCAGGTGATCCGCCCGCCTCAGCCTCTCAAAGTGCTGGGATTACAGGCGTGAGCCACCGTAGCCCGGCTAATCTGTGGTGTGGTGTCTATGGCTGCTCTCAGGCTGACGGTACAGCTCTTCAAGACCTGTCATTAAATGTCACAGTATCTTGGGTTAGCTCAAGCCTATGGCCCATCTCCATCGGCCTTGAAGGCCCACCAAGCTGCAGCTTCTCAGTAATCCTGGGAAGAGTGTGCCTGTTGACAGGGAACTGCTGAAGTCTTACAACCTATAGGGGAGATTCGTTTCATGGACTTGGGCTCACAGAATTGGACTAGAGGACCTGTTCTCTCAGGGATCAGCCATCACTGAGCAGAGGAGCTTTCCAGACAATGGAGTCTGGCAAAGCCCAGTTCAACGGCATCCGTGATGCGTCAACCCCCAGTCTCTCTCCAGATTAAGACCCAATCTCTTGACCCAACCCCCTATTCCTAGGGAGTGATCGATAGGGCAGAGTGAGGCTTATGGCTATGGTCTTGGCACATGGCCAGGTCTTTCCAAAGTCTAAGCTCCAAACTTCTTCAAGTATCCCATTGATTAAGTAAGATGATACAACCACATTAGGAAAAAAAAAAAAAAAGGAGAGGGCAGTTAGACATATAGTTCCCCGTCCCTCAGTACCACTACCGGGTATAGACCAAGAAATACAAACATACGTCCACACAAAACCTGTCCACAAACATTCCTAGTGGCATTACCCGTAATAGTCAAAAGTGGAAACTACTCAACTGATCCATCAACTGGATCAGGGAATGGATAAAAATGAATGGATGGACCAGGTGCGGTGGCTCACGCCTGTAATCCCAACACTTTGGGAGGCAGAGGCAGGAGGATTACTTGAGGTCAGGAGTTTGAGACCAGCCTGGCCAACATGGCAAAACCCTATCTCTACTAAAAGTATAAAAATTAATAGCTTAGGTGTGGTGGGGCGTCTGTAATCCCAGCTACTCAGGAGGCTGAGGCAGGAGAATCACTTGAACCCAGGAGGTGGAGGCTGCAGTGAGCCAAGATCACACCACTGCATTCCAGCCTGGCTGACAAAGTGAAACTCTGCCTCAAAAAAATAAAAAATAAAAATAAAAGTTAGCCAAGCATGGTGGCATATGTCATAATCCAGATGCTTGAATTAGCTGAGGCACAAGAATTGCTTGAATCCTGGAGGCAGAGGTTGCAGCGGGCAGAGATTGCACCATTGCACTCCAGCCTGGGCGACACAGTGAGTCTCAAAACAAAAACAAAAACAAAACAAATTATGCTCAGTGAAAGTAGCCCAGTCACAAAGAAACACATCATGTGGTGGCATTTTTGTTTTGAAACAGTCTCGTTCCTTCACCCAGGCTGGAGTGCAGTGGCCCGATCATAGTTCACTACAGTCTCAAACTCCTGGGCTCAAGTGATCCTTCTGACTCAGCCTCCTTAGCTAGGACTACAGGCGCACACCACCATGGCTGCCTAATTTTTAAAATGTAGAGAACCAGGGTCTCACTGTGTTTGCCCAGACTGGTCTCGAACTCCTGAGCTCAAGTGATCCTTCCACCTCAGCCTCCCAAAGTGCTGGGATTCAGACATGAACCACTGTGCCCATTCTATGATTGCATTTTAATGAAATATCCCGAAACAAATCTGGAGATTGAAGGTGGATGAGAGAGATTTCGAGGGACTGGGGGCTGGGGAATGGGAGAACTAGGGGTGATGGTTCAATGGGGTGAGCTTTCTGTTGGGGGTAATGAAAATGTTCTAAAATCATTAGTGATGATGGTTGGCCTAGCGTTGTGAATATAAGGAGAGTCATTGACTTGTACCTATAAGTGGTGAGTTGTGGATGGGGGTGGTGTCTCACACCTGTAATCCCAGCACTTTGGGAGCCTGAGGCGAGTGGATTACCTGAAGTCAGGAGTTCGAGACCAGCCTGGCCAACACAGTGAAACTCCATCTCTACTAAAAATCCAAAAATTAGCCGGGCATGGTGGCACGTGCCTGTAATTCCAGCTACTCAGGAGGCTGAGGCAGGAGAATCACTTGAACCCGGAGGCAGAGGTTGCAGTGAGCCAAGATCGTGCTACTGCACTCCAGCCTGGGCAACAAAAGTGAAACTCCATCTCAAAATATAAAATAAAACTTGATGTTTCAAAGGAAATGAAAACAAAAGAAGTCATTGATTTCCTCACAACGGGGGCACACAGTGGGGTCTACTGGGCATTTCACTTCGTGGCTGCCTGGCCCACATGGCTCCGCTCACCTGCAGTCTCTCAGTGTGGCAGGTCACAGAGGGAGACGCAACCCTCATTCCAGCCCAGATGAGTACGTGATGAGTGAACAAGGTAGGACTGAGCAGGCCCAAGACCTGACACAGACACACCCTTCCCACATGAAGATCTGTTCTGGGAGCGCTGCTGTCCTCCTCAACTCAAAGGCCTCGTAGCCTCCTGGGGGCAGGACCAGATTAAGATGACTCCATAGCCTCCTGAAGTGCTGACGCAAGTGATGGTGACTGCATCTGGGTCTGGGTGAAGGAAGCAAGGAGTCAGCAGCGCGCCATCCAGGGTGGTTTCCACCCCCTCACCTACCCCCACTACTCAGGCAGTTTTCTGAGAGAGCCCATCCCTTCCTCCCCAAATCCAAATTCCTCATCTTCCCTCCTTTTCTGTCCTCCCCAAATGGATACAAGTCCCTCAGAGCACACCACAACTCCCATGAGGCCTTGGGCTCTCATCACTGCAGCTCATGAAGTCATGGCCCGTGGCCTGATGGGATTTGTATTCCATTCATCTCTCAGCCCTCAAGGCCTGAGCTAAGCCCAGTTCACCACGTGAAGGCAGGAAGGGGAGTCTCACATGTGAGGCCTTACGGAGGCTCTGCA